AACGATGAAACCAAACCAGTTCAGCTAGTCTCAAATTCATTGAATATTTATTACATTTACCGCGTACCTATCTATGTGCGTATTAAGAGAAGAAACGTCCTTCTCAAGTCGCTGCGAAATAGACTTCAATATCTAATACTATTTGTGTATGTACGCAAGTCTACCTGCTTGTTCGCCAGATTAAATTACAAACTGTTATTATACGTATGCAGGTCTTAATTACGATGTAAATCGCAGAACTGTTGAATATCTTTACAGTTTTAGTTATTACTTTAATTAAAAGACAAATTTGCAAAAGTTACGCATTTACAAACTAAATTATAACTGATTTAGAAAATTTAAATTCTTTTATTTTTATTCCATATGGATTGATAGATGCATACATATTTATGCTACGGGTTTAGGATTAGGGACCAAGCTTGATTTCAAAAAAATTTTTTTAGTAATTCTAATTTTGGCTAGTTTTTAAGTTTTTATCGATACATTAGGTTTTATCCACTTTGCTTGCGTTATCCTAAATACGTATCAATAATCACCGATGCCACATAAAACTAATTTCTCTATCCCTCGGGAACAGTACATTTTTTCTGGATAAAAGGTACCCTATGTCCTTTTCTGTAGCCCTCACAATGTGTGTACAAAATTTGATGATGATCGGTTAAGTATCTAAGGCGTGGAATAGTAACAATGGTAACAGGGAAACAAACAAACGCTTTCCTAGCTTAACCCGGGTTAAAAAAAAATAGGGAGGTTTGTATAACTAATTGTCAAATTAGATTCCCAAGCAATTTCGTACCAGAAATAATAAAAATAATATTAATGTGATTTTATGGACAAACCAAAGGAGCACTACGCAATTGAAACTCTGAAATTGTGGCGTAACGCTAACACAGTAAAGAATATTAAGAATTTGGACAGTAAGTTATCAAAACTATTAGTTCCCATCGGCATCATAATGATCATCATAAGGTCGTCAGTCCTACGACTGGTTGGACACGTACCTCCACTCTTTCCTATCCTGAGCTAAACTTCGCATTTCTCTAAAACTAGAACAACCCATATCCTTAACTATCTGCGAACAGTAATCTAATCCAGGTCTACCTGTACCCCTCCTAACTCCTGTTTCTGCCTCTAATATGTCCTCTGACTAAACCTTCATGTTTGCGAAGGTGTTCTACCAACCTATCTCGCCTAATTCTTATTGACTTCCATAGAGTCGTCCCCTATTCTCCTACTCTTTCTAATACCTCTTCATTTCTAACCTTCTCTATCTACGGTACCCTCATTATTCGTCTGTACCACATTTCGAACGCTTCTAACTTTTTCTTTTCCGCCGCACCCACTGTCCATGTTTCGCACCCATACAGCGCCGTACTCCAAACATACACCTTTAACAACCTTTTTCGAATTTCTAAATTAACCATTCACGAGCATAGAAGTGAATTCTTTTTATTGAAGGCGACACGACCCTGCGCTATCCTCTACTTTATATCCTTACTACTCGTTCCGTCCTGACTTCCAAGATATCTGAAACTGGCCACGTCTTCTAATCTTTCTCATCAGCACGCCAAATATATTGTCTATATGAAAATGACCACGCGTTGCCACTGTAAATTGTTATTCCAATTGCCAGCATTGCCCGTAACATGAATACAAAATTTAACTACCTCGATCCATTTAACTATGTTGCCAAAAATCTGCTGTTATAGCTTAATGTCTACGTAGATATCTATTTCCCTCGAAGGAAATCTAGTATAAATAATTAACTTGTGACCAGAATAAATTGAAAATAACTTGGCATCAGTCGGTATTTCAATGGCACGTGAACTGAAAATGTGCCAAAAATACAATGCAACATAAAACAAAAAATACTTCTGCAGTTGAAGTTACACAATACGCGGCACAGCACAAAAAGCGATATGTACTGTAATTTATTACAGAATTGAAGAATAATTGCACAAATATGTGTAATTAACCGTTATCGAATAGTTAGGGGAATCATTCAAAAGATTACATCTGAATGTAATTGCCTATTACGTGTACTCCACAAAGTTTTGCCTAATTCGTGAAATAATCCATGGATTCCATGCACTTATTAAGCAAACTCGTGTCTTAATGCATGTAGTAGGTAGTAACATATGCAATAAGTAACCGTGCAAATTAAAGATTATGTTTATTGTACAATAATTATTGACATCTGTTTGTTCTGCGGCATGATGCATATATACTATAAAAGATAATATTTAAGTTTTTTCTGTGAAGCTATATACTGTAAAAATGGATAATGATAAGTATTTAGTAGACAGAAAAGGACAAAAGCCAAATTCAAAATTGGTATAAACCACGGTCGCACGGTTAGAAAAAAAAATCAACGTTTGAACACTTTTTCATAAACGCTCGGTAGGTTTTGGCGAAGCTTGCGAAAGAGATAAAAATGACATAACCACGACAACACTACTCATTAAATACTTAAGATCGCAAAATTCTGATAGGAAGACACCACGAACGAAGTGAGTTTTCATGGTCATATCCTTAATTTTGTTTATAGGAATGTAGACCTTAAAGTAACCTCTTTCATGGAAAACTTTGCGAAGAAATTATTAATGTAACTGCATGTGTATTGCATGAAATTGCTAAAAAAACCAGCAAGCCTGAATTCCTTGAATTAGGTTAAATTTTGCCAAGTACACATAGTAGGCAATTACAAATTAATATTGATATGTTTCGGCGTACTTCTCGCTGTAGCCTCACGTGCCTAATAAGGAAAATTTCTGGATCGTTGTAAAGCGTCTTGACGCCGAAAGGGCCGCACTCGCGGAAAAGCAAAAAGTTTAAAGTGGTGTTAGTGGAAAAGCGTTGACTAATGAGTATGGGAATGGCTTGGCGACGATTTCAGACATAAACTGCTATATCTTGCTGTAATCTTGCTGTGTATTTTTGCCAATCCTAATTAGTGAAACATTACTGTACTACATGGAGTAATCTTAATTTTTATGGTAAAGCAAAAATTACAATTTTCGATTGTAAATGACTGAATTTGCCGAGAAACAGCAGAATTTATTAGGTAACTTGTAATAATCTCAATTTAGACATGCTTTTTTAAAAATTTTTGAAAAATACCTAGTAATTTCTGCTGGGATTTTATTTTTACAAATTCGAGTCCAAATTGTAATTTTTATTATTTTCGCTTACGAAGCAACGGGCTAGTGGGATACATTGTAAATATCCCTTTAATATTTAGGTAAATTTTCCTTTTTCAAATGTCAAATTCTTTATATTCAAGAAAGTACTTAGTCCACAATGGGATTTATTAAGGAGATAGACTTATTGTTAATGTTGTTGTCCTGATTGTTTGTTTTTATAGTAGAATTTCAAACAACCACCCACAGTCCACAGAGCCCAAGAATCGGATCCAGTTAATCTCCGTAATTTTGTGTATCAGCTTTATACATATGTACTTATATCAATCTCTGTATGAAACAATGACATTTTTTCGTTATTTGATAATGCAACTCGAGTTAACTATTTTACAATAAGTTACTGTAAGTGCAGAAGAAAGTTATTATTATAACAATTTTCAGTCTAATCAAAAGTCCCATTCAACTTTCTTATCATAGCAATAAATTCTTATTATACACGCATGTACGTACGTATGTAACATCTCATGCATGTCCAGCACATGAACATAATAATGCAACACAATGCTGTACAGCATGTTAACATGAAAATTATTTCTATTATATACCTATTTATTTATAGTATTGATAAGATAAAAAAATAAAGAGAGAGTAAATAAATAGCTGTAGGTATATTATATTATGTAGTACTTATTTGTATTATAATGATGACTGTATCATATGATTAGCAAAATTGTGTAAGAAGTTATTTTTCATAATTGTTATCCTTGTAAATAAAAAAAAAAAAACAATCGCACCAAAAAATTTAGTACACTAAATTATCTTTAAATGCAATGTTTTAAAAGAGAAGAACACTTTATACACTTATTTCACATTTTTTCACTTGTTTTTCCGCGCACGCTTGATCATAAAATAAAAAAGGTGACCTAAGATATTTCAATTAAATAGTACTAGAATCCTAAGTAGAAATGTGTTTAACTTGTTAACTACTATGCTAGGTACAGCATTTTTTGTTTAAAATATCTTTAATTTTTTCCTTGTAATTATTGGAGAATGAAATTTATTTTTTTAATAAGACAATTTTACAAAACTAAGAGCAAACAATTGCACGATTATTGTAAGTACCTTTAATGGAACTCTTGCAACTTAAACTTCTACAATGACTCGAAATCATTCCTAACTGGAATACTTACATATTTTTATGTTCCCTACTTACTATGCTAGGGATCGGCATTTTTTATTTAAGATTATACACATCTTTACTTTCTTCCTTTTAATTATTAGAGAATGAAATTTATTTTTTTAATAAGAAAATTTTACAAACCCGAGACCAAACACTTGCATGATTATTGTAAGTTTTTTTAGTAACTGAAACTTGTGCAATACCTCGAAATCATTCCTAACTCAAATACCCAAGTATTTTATGGTCTCTTGATACACCGGCATACGTATTATTTTACTTTTATCACAAACTCTAACCCGAATTTCTCTACTTCTGTAAGTCGATATTTGAATGAGGAATTTACATAATTAAGTTTTTAATTGAAATTTCTGTTGATTACTGATTAACCACCAAAAACTACAAGGACATACTTATGTGCATGAACTGATGGCTGATAAAATAAGATTTACTTATATTATGCCTTAAATTTAAATGATATACTGATTAATAATTTCAGTTACTCAATTATTACCATGGCGATGTAAAAGGGTGTAAAATGCATAGAAATAATGTCTCCGAAATGAAAATTTATGAGGTTCAAATTAGGAAAGTTTAGAGATTTTAATTATATTATTAAGCACAAAATAATTAGTAATTTCTAACGATAATAAAAAAATATCTCCTTATAGGAATCAACTTACCTTTTATTTTGAGACGTCTTGATGTTGTTAATATGATGAAACTGAATGATGAATTAACTTTCACACAAAATAAATATATTAAAATTATTTGAAATCAATCACACCGAACCAAGCAAACAGTAGATAATATTAAACTGGGCAGTCATCATCATCGCCCGCTCTTCAATTGCCCGGACGTATCGTCGTCAGCGGCCTGCGATATTCACACATAATTTTCCCGGCGAAGAGATTGGGAAAATCAAGCGAAAGCCGTCCAAACGCGTCTGCCTCTGTTTTTATGCCAGAGCTAAGCTCTCATGGAACGGCGCGTCCTGCCTGCTATATGTAATAATATTTTCACTTAGTTACAGCGTGCTGTCCTGATGTTATTTAGGCGCATAGCGTAGCGTGTCATGCCATTCGTTCGTAACTTGGTCGCGAGAAGAAATCAACTAGGCTCTGCTGCTCGCTACACCAAGTAGAAATTCTCGTCAGAGCCGTCCCACTACTCGCCACGGAAAATGAACTACGACCTAAGAACGTGGCGTGCCGATGCCAGAGAGACAGGGGCGGATTGGACGATGCTTCAGTGTACCGCGTGATCTACATTAAGTCGTGATACACTTGACGAAAAACTTTACAGGATTACATATTAATTTTCACTGTATGTAATATTTACGATACCAGATACGATAAAAATAAATTCACGTGCTTATGCAATTATTTTACGTGGAAACAAACAAGAACGTAGCTGCGACTGGGCCAGGATAGGACAAAGCCCTTCGATTAAAAGTTCAGGTCCATGTACAACTCACCGTAAATATTTACGTAAACTTAGATCTGCAAGCTTTCATTTTCACATAACCTAAAATCTTATTTATTGCAGAACTATTAGGCGTTTTTAATTAGTGATTTTCGGATAACCAAGTATCCAGTAAAACCACTCGGTTAATGGTTTATGTTTTAATTCTGGCGGGCTTTCCATTAAATACCACCCTCTCCAATCCACATTAAGAAGTACAATTGAAAAAGTCATTTAAATACCAAACCAATGAAATTTTAATTCCTGGTTGACGAACTTTCAACCAGAGGGTTGAGTTGCATTTGTTGAAATTAGCCTTTAATGTTCATAAACATTAAAAGTCTGCAAGGTGACAAAATCCAGCATTTATGTTTTCGTTAATCAAAACGACAGAAATTGTAACAGTTCGGCTATAAATACTACTATAATCTTGCTCATCAGAAAAAATAAACATAAGCACTATGTCGAAATAGCAAATAATTTAGTATCATCATCATAAGTTCTTCAGTCCTAAGATTGGATGGACACGCACCTCCACTATTTCCTATCCTGAGCTTATCTTTGCACTTCCCTGAAATTAAAACAACCTACATCCTTAACTAATCTAGGTCTACCTCTACCCCATCTAACTCCTGTTTCTGCCTCTAATATGTCTCTGACTACACCTTCATGCCTGAGAAGGTGTCCTACCAACCTATCTCGCCTATTTTTTATTGACTTCCATAGAGTCCTCTGTTCTCCTATTCTTT